TTCTACTCTATTTTATTTGCCTTACTGGAACAATAAGACATGTCTGGCCATATAAGTAGCAAATTTACTTAAGGAAAAAAGTTAAACTATCGTGCAGAGCCATAGTAATTCTCACACGGTCTCTTTTGGCAAAAAGTCAGTGGAGTCTATTTTTATATTGAATGGTTTCCTTTACACAGCTGTACCATAAATTTCTTCAGAATTCCAAGTCATCTGTGAAAATCCCTGGCTATATAAAAAGAACAGCAGAAAAATAAGCTAGATAAAAAGATAAGATAAGCTATGTCTGTAGCAGTGATTTATAAGAAATATAGAATTACAGGAAAAGAAGGTAAAGAGAATTTAACCAACCCTGGTGATATTTATTCCTCGTATTTAATTTGAGCTTGTCCACATTATCTTGGTAGTTCATTTCAGATCCCCTGGAATGGTTATTCTGCTAGGTATTTTTCAAGAGTGTCATCAAGATGCAATTTGCAGTCATCCCCATGATAGAGGCACACAGCCACAGCACTGGAGTTAATTGCTGTTTCAATGTGATGTCTGTAGTGTGACACTGCTGGTAGCCAGATTTCATTTTTTAGTTTTAATTTTAGCTACAGTGTAGGATACTGTAGTTATAAATAATCAAGTATATCTGGTTGCAGTGTAAATACAGCTCTGCCTCCATGGCTGACACTGCTTGACATCAGTTAAATTAAAGGCTGACTGGGCATGTCCCATCCTCTGTCACCTTGGATCTGACCTCCAGCTCACAGATGAGACCTGCTGACAGCTTAGCAGGGGGAGTTTGCATTGCTGTTGTCATGGATTGCCTGTCTGATGGCTTCAAAGGCAAATACACTTGAATGCTAAAAACAGTCTTTTCAAATGTATATGCCAAAATAGTAATTCAGCTGGGTAAATAAAACAGCAGTTTAAATGAATAAGTGTTATTTAGTTGATGAATATATGTTTGACTGAGTGATTGAAATGGCTCCCCTGGGTAAGATGAAGAAGTATGCTTTTAAAACTCTTTTGTAGATGTTTATAGAGAGAAAATGACAGGGGGAAAAAAAATCAAGTATCTATGGGGTTATGAGATAAACATAGAACTTTACAACAGTCACCCACAACAGAGAATGATCTTGGGATTTATTTGTTCACAGCAGCATGAGTAGTTTGGGTTGGTCTTTCTTCACAGATTTGTCAGTTTGTCACATCTGTACCTTCACTAAAATGCAGTTGATGCTCTTTGAATGTGATCTGCAGTGGTCCATCAAATGGAAAAGCTTCTAAAAATAGCTGGAGGGGAGTGAGTCAGGTGGCAAGATACATTCTCTGCATTAGGAGGTGAGGACTGAAGGGAGCTATAAAAAGTTTGAATCTCTAGTGACACGCTTTGCCAGGGAAGCTGTTAGCACAGAAAAACGCCCTGCAAATACCAAAGTTAGGATGATGGTCTGCTTTTCAGGTATAAGAAAAAATCAACTTTAGCCTATTAACTGGGGTAGATTCAGTGTTCATATCTACTTTGCATTCCTCTCTGTATTTATATCCTGGGAGGAAACAGTATGAAGAGGCCAGTACTGAGACACTTCCTGTAATATTTATATTTACTGCTCTGCCTTCCTCATCCTCAAGGTGAGGACTGTTAATAATTCTGTCATTGTTAATAATTCTGTTTTACACGTAGGCATCTGAGAGCAGCAAGATCATGACCAACCCAGGTGCAATGGCAGTATCAGAGCAAGGAGCAGAACCAAGATGCTGTCACTGGTTTTGTGTCATACCAACAAGGATAATTCAGCGGGCATTTATGAGAGCATGATTCAATAATGCATAATCTTCAGAGTTTATTGACATCTTGTGGGACTTAAAACTTTATAAGTTGTTAGCTAAGCTTGCAAATATGAAACCTGGGTTTTAGTATAACTTGAAGCATTTCTAAATTTTGTTATTACAGCATTGTAATGTAGCTCCATAAAAACAGGATGCCATGATTTAAATTCTTAAAAGCAAAAGGAAAGGATGCTTTCAGCATGCCAGAGGTGAGGCAGCAGCTGTTCCTTGCAGATGTGGCACAGGCTGGGTATAGAGCATTTTGAAATATTCTGAAGCACTACAGAAATACAGACTGAAAGGAGTCGCCCATCTGCCCCATTCTTTGCTGCAGGTTAAATATATCTCAGCCACTTCTGGGAGCTGATCATCACACCTGCTCTTCAAGTCCTCTGCTGGGGTGAACCCCTGTCACAATTCCCTTCCCAGGGAGATTTTCCTAAGATGCTCCAGGAGGAGAACTAGGAACCAGGTCATTCGTGTTGTAGAGCAAAATAGAAGTGTATCTGTGGGGAGATGCTTCCAAGGACAATATCAAACCGAACAGAATTATTTCAGTGTTAGATAAACCTGAATCAAGTCTCTGGGCTCAGTAATAACTGCAAATTCAATTGTCTTACCTGCAGTTTTCACCAATTTTTCATTTCACCTTGATAACGTCAACCTTCTGATGAGAAATTCAAAGGAATTGTCTTCTACTAATTTTTTGGAGGAAAGTCTGACATCCAATGTATTTTTTTTACGTTTGCATGCTGAAGTAGTATGAATGTAACTCTGGTTTTCCTGATGGCTGAAATTTTATTATTTTAGCTTAATTGATATATTTGAGGATCCTTGAGTCCTGAAAAATGCCCTTTCCCACAGAGAAATACAAAGTAGAAATTTGGATATCCAAAGGAAACTGAGGGTAAATTTATCTAGAAATACTAAAACTTTATCCTCCATTAGAATTAAATTTATTTTACAATTCTATTCTACAGTTTACATCTTTACAGTTTTAGAGAATATATACATAATTAGCAAAAGCCATTGACAGTTTTGGAGTTTCTTTAATAGCCAGTGAAACTATAACTGCCAACAGAGACTATTGTGGTCTCTGTACATTTGCTGCACTGGATAATAATAATTCCTGGAAATAGCTTTTTCTTTGACTGGTTGGCTATGGATATCTTGCTCCTGAAGAAGGTTCTTTACAGTGTGTCAAGACGCCTTTTGCAGATTAGATACAGTTGATGTTCATCAAAGAATGCTTCCAAAGAAATTATTTACAGCCTACTTTTAAATATTGAAAAAATATTCATGATTTATTACCATATGTTGGGATTGTGAAATAAATGTAATGTTCTCAAAGGAGGTGAAGGTGCCTGCAGTCTTTGCTGACTTCCCAGCTCTGCCAGTGATAGTGTACCATGCCACAGGTGCAGGTGATTTTTGGTGTAATCTCTGCCCCTGATTTCCTCTCCATGTAGGTGGGTGAGAACTAATTTAAATTCCAGTGAGGTGATGCCTGCCTTCACTGAGATAGGAACCTTGAGATATCCTCTGTTGCAGTAATCCATTAGAAATGAAATCCATGGAGCAGGATATGTTTGGATCTGGTTGCTCTCTGTGGCTCTAAGGGCACATTGCTGGACACTCTCAGCCATTTTTCCTCCTTTTTGCAGCCTCTTGTTGCAGCTTCTCCTGCCTTCCCTTTCTTTGTCAGTGATGTTATTGTAGACCCATTAACATAGAAAATAAAAAAACAAACAAGTTGCCAAAAACTGTAGAGCAGTTGGTATTCAGAGCATTCTTTTACCATTTCAAAACACTGCCAACATAGTATCTGTTTCATTATGTACAAGTGTAAGTGCTGCTAACATAGATAATTTAGAATCTATAATTGAAACCGTGCTTTTGCTGCTCTCTCAATTAAAGATAGTCAAGACAGAAAAGCTGTTATGTACTTACCTGCTGGAATTATATGTTGTTCTGTGCCATCCCATTACATTCATACAGTGCTGGAAGGTATTTCAAAAGTAACTTGCCCTTTATTGAAAATAGCATTACACCACCACAACAAAACTCCTATGAAGGAAACAGAAAAACCCCCATGAAGTAAACAGTTTTTACAAATGCTGTCAGGTTTTATCAGAGGTATCACTACCATCCACTCTGTGGTAATAGTGGTATTAGTGATACCTTTAAGTTTCTGTGATTGTCAACAGATATTTTCTGTGGTTGTCTGGTTTATTATAGTGTCTTTGTAAGAATTTTTAAATGGATTTCTCACCATGTTGTTTGGGAATACAGAACAAAACCAAGCAATGCTGCATACTGTAGCTTAAAAACACTGCTAATTCCATGTTCTGCACTCCATGTTTAAAATATGCGTAGCCTCAGAACCTGTTCAGTTGAGAACAGAAGGGATTTGCACCATATTTTAAGAGTTGACTATTTCATGGGCTGGAAGCCAGAGCACTCAACCAGAAAGGCCTTGTATCTTGTCTTCAATAATGCATGCTGAAAAACCAACAAATGATGGATTTTAACTAACCAGAGCACAGGGGAAGAAGACTTGTAGATAGACCCTCCTTCAGGCAGAGAGCTTCAAAGGCACTGCACTGAGCTGTGCTAACTCTGTTTCAAGGAGAAGTGCATGTTAGAGTACAGACATTGTCCTCTAAACCCTTTTGTGTGCATTTCATTTCTTCTGTCAACTCTCTATTCTGTGAGCTCAAGTCTACTGGACTACTTCAGTGAAGAAAACAGTGGTAATAAAAATTTGCAATCAGTTTATTTACATTTGAGGTACCCTTCAGTTCACCTTTCTGGCACATTTTTATACCCCAGTTGTGTACAAGATGCAACTGAAAAGAGCACAGTGAGATTCACGTGTGTTTAATTGACTCTGCTGTTGCTGTTTGATCAGTGAGGAGCAATCACAGAATTAAAGGGTTTGAGGGATGAGAAGATTGCTGATGCTCCACAGAAAAATAAGGTTTGCAGAGTTTTTGCTTCAAATATAAGGGCCAAATTCTTACATCCTGATTGGAACAGCAGGCAGATTGCATCAGAATAAGAAAGTTACAGTTTGATTTAAGAGGTGTCACTGCCACAGATGTTAATCTTGAATGAATAAAACTACCTGTATTGAAACCAGTTGTCTCATTTGATTTATGTTTGCTTTTGTTTTACAGGACCATGGGTCACTAGGAATAGCAGCATAGATAGTGGAGAAACAGAAGTTGGCCACAGGGTCACCCAGGAGGTGCCTCCAGGAGTTTTTTGGAGGTCTCAGATCCATATCAGCCAGCCACAGTTCGTGAAGTTCAACATATCCTTAGGGAAGGATGCTCTTTTTGGTGTTTATATAAGAAGAGGACTCCCACCATCACATGCCCAGGTACTTTATCAATGTGTTTGTTGCCTTTCAATGTCAGAATGCAAAACTTAGGTCATCTTTGTTAGGTTTATGTTGGAGTTTACAGAATTCAACTTTAGGGATTTCCTGAACTCCTTCATTTGCCTCATCATAACATTTTTGGGTTGCTACATACTTAAGCAATATATTATTATTATTATATAAAGTAATTATGTCCTTGCCATTCAAATGAGATCTTAATTCTCTGGTATAATCTTGGCACAAACTGGGATAAAACTATCCAGTTATCTATGAGAAAAAACTGATGAGTTAAGGACCCAAATCTTTGATTGAACTTGGGAGTAAAGGAGTGAGGAGGTTGATTTGCGTTTATTACCTCTGCTTCTAAGAATTTGTGCAGAAGGAGCTTTGGCTGTGCAGAATTCATCAGCTTTCTGTAGTAAGCTGTTTTGCCATGTTCTGTGAGTTACTGTATGGGTGTTTCTGAGTGGTAACAAATCAGGATCAGCAGTGCCCAGCCCAAGGAGGGAAGGATCTGGTCAGATTTCCATGTTAGCATATGCTGTCCTGAAATTTGATACAAAGGCTGGAAAAACTGGGAAATTGCAGAGGGCTGCTGACTGATTTTCAGTCATTTCCAGCCATCCAGGCAGCACAAAAAATATATCTTCAGAGAATGTATTCCAGGGTGGGAGCCTTTCTTCAGAATGTTTTGATTTTGGCTGTAAGGCTTCATTCAGTATGCTGTCTTGAGGGTGAAATTCTGTCTGTGAAACTTCAGCTGTTCCATTGAGGTCATGACATAATTCATTGCACATGTCTCATTTAATTCAGAATTTTAGTGCTCACTTCCCCTTTTCCATCATGAATAAAATGGGAATTTATTTAAGGAAAACAAACAAAAGTATAAATCATTAAATGAAAATTACTTAGGGCAACCAAAGCTCCGAAGCAATCATCAAAGTTTGCTGTAAATACAGGTTAATTTTAATTTTTTGACTAAGACATGAGGGAGATATGCCTGTATCTTTTACAAGAAATCCAGTTGGAAGTAGTTGGTAGTACAAAATATTTTCTTTTAATTCAGGATGAACTTTATTTTGCAGTATGATCAGATGTATTTGTTCTAGGTTTCATTATGATGTTCTCATCTGAGAAGGCTGTGATCAGGCAGAGGTTTTTTTCCTTTGACTCCACCTCACATGGATAGAATAGAAATTTTGTGACCTTTGTGTTAAATTAAATAATGAGAAATATCATCTGTGTTTCCTGTTGAGCTGGATTCCTCCTCAGGGTACCTGCTTTCTTCAGAGGAAACAGATCTAAACCTCTTCATAAGTGGGGTTAATGAAACACACTGTGTATAAACTGGTATAGATCTGTCTGAATTTGCAATATGAACCAACATAAACTTCCCACGTTCAGGCAGGGTCCTGGTGCTTGTTAATAGGGTGCTACAGCAGGAGGTTCCATGGCAGTTTTGCCCAGCAATCAAAATTCAGTCAAGCTGCTACCAAATGAAATTATTTTAGAATAAGAAATGCAAGCTGTTACAGACCTGAGTTAGTGAAAAGAAGCCTTGTTCTGACAGAAAGGAGCACAATACTTTTGTATGAATGAAAACAGTCTGAAGTTGACACCAGACGATATTTTAAAATTGAAATTTAAAATCCTTGTTTCTGTAGGTTAGGGACATGAGCTCTAAAGCAGTGAACAGCTTGACAGTTCATCACTGATCAGTGCTCATATGTCAAGCTGAGTAAAATCCTTTGTGGGAACAAGTCAATAATCAGCAAATTAGGTACATGATTAACCTGAGACAACAAGATGCAGTTCCTGTCTGAGAGCCCTGCTGAGATTTAACCTTCTCAGTATTACTGTTTAGCAAATATTCCAAGTGCCTGGTTTAGTCAGTCAAACTGATGTAGCTGTAAACTTGTCTGGATGCAGCCTGAGTGCTGTGTGCATGGGGAGGGGAGCTCTGAGGAGAGGCAAAAATGCAGTTTTGAGTGGCAAGCAGAGTACAAACAGGAATGCAGTGCTTTTGGGCAAAATCCCTCCAACCTGTGTACTGCTATGCAGAATCCTATGCAGAAGTAACAAAATGCACATTGCAGGCTTGAATGATCAATAGGAATTTAGCAGACAAGAGTCATATTAATAGAATTGATAATGTATAGAAAATGAACTGTAAATATCAAATAATGCATGAAGTGACTCTGCAGAGCTTACAGGAGTTGTGGTGTTGCTACATGCTGGTAGCACGTTCCAAATGATGCATGAAATGAGGTAACCTGAGAGGAACTTCCCTGGAATGTCTGGAGAAGGCAATGTGTGGGGCTGTATTGTTTTCATTTCCAGCATCATGGCTTATACTTATAAATGTTTCATGTCAAAATGAAAACTCTCTTCATTCAGACCAGGAAATGGCTTTATTTGAAAAAAACCTTTGAGAGCAGGGGAGCATCAATATTCCCTTGGCTTTTAGCAGGTGCTCAGACACTTTTAGGTGCTCTGAGCACCTCACGTTGCCTGGTGGCCACAGGGCTGGCCTGAACTGGCTGGATTGTGGAAATCCAAATGTGGGAACAAACCGCTTGGTTGGCTGCCATCGTGGGTGTCAGATGTTTCATGGCTGTGTTTTAATGAATAATTACCAACTGGATTTTATGAAGAACTAATTTTAGAGCACTTTGCAAACAAGTTTCCCTGCCATATGTTTTCCTGGCTGCTTGGATCCTACAGGGCTTTGGCATAAAGGCGAGTGCTGGCCGCCACCCCATGCATGCTCCCCCTCTCCTGTTGAACATGCATCCCTCATTGAGACAAGAGCTCTAGGAGATCATTCTTTTCAATTCCTAATCTCAAAAACTCCTAGGCATTTTGTGGAGGTATGCAAATTGTTTCAAATCCAAGAAAATCCCTGAAGATTATGGCAGCTCTCTGCGTTTCCAGTCCTGAGCCCTGCGAGCTCCCTCAGCTCCGCAGTGGTCACAAGTGGTTCCTTTCCTGTGTGCGTGGCTGGGCTCGGTGGCTTTGTGCAGTGCTGGAGTCACAGCCATAGGTGTGGAGCTCCCACACTGTTCTGCTGGCTCCCTATGGTTACCAGAAAAAGAAAGCCTTTATTAGCCCATGAATAAAATGCATCACAGGGTAGAGAGCCCTGAATGGAGAAATTATAAAAACAAATTGCTCAGAAAGAACTTAGCATGAGGTTTTAGGTTTGTAAATAAAAGTAAGCAGTAGGATTTCAGTATGCTGGGTAGTAAAAATAAACAAACTCACCGAGAGAGAGAATTTGGAATTTGTTTAGCAGTGTAGGCTGGCAAGTCAGTTGCTTATATTGGGCTTTAATCATAGTAAGTACTCCCTGCTGCAAAATTGAACTCTGATGATGTAGTCATTTGGGATTTCTGCTGCATGTTGTTCCTGAGCTGTTTTAGCCATTTTTGTGACTTTCAGTATGAAGCCATGAACTATAAAGGATCATTAAAAAAGAAAACAAAAAAGCCAAAAGTCAGTGAAACTTCCAAATTACTTCAGTGATTTAATTTGGTTTGACATGTCCATTCCCTAATTCATGTGATTTAGTGGTCTCTTCCTTAGCAGTTGTGTGTGTGTGCTAGATTAAGGATTCCACAGTTGCTTTTTAATGATCATGAAATTACTTGCCTCCTTTTCCTAGATGGGTTTTCTAATCTATTCATATATGCCAATAAGTAGCTTTAAAGCAAGAGTGATATCTTCAGCACAACATTATGTAAAAGTAATTAATCATGTGAGGGTGGTAAATCAGAAAATCAACAGGGCCATGAAAAGCAAAATGATAATTCAGCCAAGCATGTGAAGAAATCTTATCTGCTTATGAGTTCCCAGTGTCTTGGTGACCCTTCAGTCAGGGATTTTCGATTTTGGGGCACAAATACCTCCTCCTTACTGACATATTAAGATAAATGCATACAGGGAACCATCAGCAGGTACATTAACTTCCTTCTTTCTTTTTTTTTTTTTTCCTCAGTCCTGAGAAATCCGAGGAGGGATAAAAATGTAACATTGTTTTCTATATCACTTTGCACCAGTACTTCAGCATTCAGAGTTATCCAGATTCAGTCATTTTGCTTTTGCCTGGGCATTAAATTATTTGTCCTGGTTTGACTGAAGAGGGGCAATACCCCTTTTAACTGTACCAAGTTAAAATCACCATGCCAAGGGACCTGCTCTCACCAGGTCACACCCCATCATCATGAAAAGAGATTCTGCAGCTAAAACTACTTCAAGCAGCTTCAGGCTGAAAACTCTTCCCCTTCGATCTGGCCAACTGCTGAGCCTTCTCTGCTATATGAGGTAGAATCAGCATCAAACAGGGGGAGGCAGAGGAACCTGCCAGCACAAGCAGAGAGGAACAGCGTGTTGCCAGTGAGAAATGTCAGCTTTTATTGCTGCTTCCCCAGTTGACCCTTTGTGAACAATTGTTCTGAAGAGCACAATTTCTTTTTCCCAAGATGTTGCCCAAGTAATAACATTTCCCAAGGAGGTGATGAGTCTGTCCTTAACCTCTGACTGTTAGACAATGGCTTTTAGCAATCTTCCCAAATGCCATTGATTTCAGAGATAGATATATGTGTGTTTGGTACCTCACATATGCTGAAAGTTACCGGCTTGCCAGAATTCTCTACATCTCTGGCATGCTTTGCCTGAATTTCACTAATTTATCTGATTTACCTTTTCCCATTTAAATCATATATGGAAAAGGCTCAAGTGGATGGCAATCTGATATTGAGTGAAACTTTTTATTCCACTTCTCTTACTTCGTTCCTCGTTTAAAAGCATAGAATAATAGGTAGAGTGCATAATGCTCTCACTGTGATGATAACTCTCAGCATTAGTAGATTTGGGCTCAAATTCCTCCCTGCCATGGATTTCCTTTGTGGAAAGGCTGCAGGTCGGTGTCAGTTCCACAGTTTACCAGGAAGACAAGAGTTCTGGCAGACATTTCCCTTTGTTGTGAGGCTGAGCCTACCAGGGCTCTGTAATGCTGGTACATAAGAGGTTTTCAGCTGGAAAGGTGAGGTTTTATACCCCAGTTTTGGGTAGATGTGATGGCACTCAAGTGTTAAATTTGTCTGTCTTCCACTAATAGGGATAATCTTCATTATTTTATCACAAATTGTGAATAATTTACTAGAGCTCACAGTTCCTGAGTGGAATACAGTGTGAAAGACAGTCTGTGTGTCCTTCTCTGGATGTTTATTCTGTTTAGGAGCAAGGTTACAGTTTTCTGTTTAAATTGAAAGTAGGAGAAGGTAGATGTTTTCTCCTAGTTGCTGTGGGCACAGCCTGGAAATGCAGAGGGAAATGTAATGAAGCTACTGGCAAGCAAGCACATACTATTACTGTATTTTATTGAACACATGCATCTTTCTTTAGACATGTCTATCTATCTCTATCTACTCCTACACAGATAAATGTGTCTAAAACAAGATGTGTTTTCATAGGGGACTTGTTATACAGCTATCAAAATATTAGATATATTGGTTTTGGTGTTTCTTAAGGGCTTCCCTTAGATAGGGACTATGAGATCTACCCAGTTGAGCTTGAGAGCTCCAGAATCACAGACATTAATGACAGAAAAAAAGCCTATTAGGACAGCTCTCCCAGCTGCTTTGTTATGCAGAGTTATTCCCTGTTGTAGACTAAGCAATATTTCTTCCAGTCTTGCTTAATTGTGGCATCTCCATTGGGAGGCTATTTACTGAGCTTAATAGATGGGAAGCTTATCTGACATTCATCTTAAATTTCTTTCTTTCTTTTTTTAGTTTCATGCCATTAATGGTGCCATCGCTCTTATGTTCTAAATAATCACTTGCTCTGTTTGATCCCTTTTCCAAAGATTAATGCAATGTTCTACCTTCTTTGGAAGCCATCCAAACAGAAATTCTCAGTTTTCCTTAATATATGTTCAATTCCCTTATTTGTGTTATTCCTTTCCATGCTCCCTCTGGTTTTTGTATCGCACTTGCCCTGATTGTTCCTCATACAACCTCAGGTAAGCAACTTTGTGATGTAAAACTTGTGCAGTGTATTTTTATCTGGTCATGAGTTACTTTAGACAAACACATTTCCTGTCTGTGCTATACCTGTTTCACATTCTGGAGGCTTCCATTCAACAATATGTCTGGTGTTACACCTCAGATATCTATTCCTGTTTCAAAAAGAATTTATTGCAGGCATTTGATTAGAAAAGGATGTGGGTCTCCTGAGTCTCTGAAAGCTGTGTAGGAACCTAAAATTAATGGGTCAAATAATAGATTTCAAATTGTTTCTCAAAAACCATCCTGTCAGTTTGTACATTTTATGATCACCTGTGCAGAGGAAAGATGCATTATTCTAGGTCACTGTTTAAGAAAGAATAAAAGTCTCAGAATCTCTTTGTGTTCCATGGTCAGCTAGTAAATGTTAGTTTCCCATTTCTTCCAGAATTCCATTTTAAAACAAAGTAGAGGAGAAAACAGTCAGATTTTTGAGCTGAACCATTCTGCATTCAGGTCTGTTTGGGGTTTTGTTTGTGTTCTCTTTTTTTTTCCCCCCTTGTTTTGTTTTCCCCCTGCAGTATGATTTCATGGAGCGCTTGGATGGCAAGGAGAAGTGGAGCGTGGTGGAGTCGCCGCGGGAGCGCCGCAGCGTGCAGACCCTGGTGCAGAACGAGGCCGTGTTCGTGCAGTACCTGGACGTGGGCTTGTGGCACCTGGCCTTCTACAACGATGGCAAGGACAAGGAGGTGGTCTCCTTCAGCACAGTCATTTTGGGTAGGTGCTCCCACCAGCTGGGCACTTTTCCTCTCTGTTTATACCCTCCTTTACCCAGAGCTGGAATATTTTCCTGCACTCCTCAGTATTTGGCCTGTTTGTCCTTATGTGGTGCTGTGCATTTTTTTCCCCAATACTGCTTTAGCAAAGAGTCAGTAATGGGGTGTGCTGACTTTAATTCACTCATTTTTCTCTTAATATTTTAGCATTCCCATAGATCTCGAGTTTACTTTTGGAAAACAAGGCTCAGAAAATTCAGTGTGGTTTGAAGCATTCCCCAGCTAATGTTCCTCTCCCTTATCTCTGTCATTTTGATACTTTTTATTTGCTTCTCTGAAGATGCTTCTTTACACCCAGGTGGAATAGTATCCAACAGGAGAGCTGTTTAATCTTGGTGGAAAGACAGCTCAAGAAAATGATACCTGCAAATGAGATTATTGTTTGCAGCCATCCTAGAGATTAATTGAGCCAGTTAATTAGCTGTATGTTGCTTTACAGCTTACCACTCACCTAGCAGTGAGTCATCTCTCAACGTGGTGGAAGAACATCCAGCTGCAGTTTTGTTAGAATAGGATTACATTCAGTTGAGAATCAAACTGAGTCTAAATTCTGCAAGCTTTATTAGATTTGTTGTCCTTTGAAGCTCTTAATGAACTTTGCTGACTGTCTTTTCACAGAGGTGTAACAAATTCTGAGGTATCCTTTGTGATATTCTGTCCTGGCTGGTGAAGCCTGAAATGGCACTGTGTTGTATAAATCTGTAATTCCTCTTACTTCAGGGAAGCTGTAAAAAGTCAAAATGAGGGTTTAGATTTGATGAGAAATAGTCAGAGGTGTTTTCTAGTCTCGCCTTATTAATATGTAGCTTAGATTTTTTTTCCTTTTACATTAGTATAGCATTCAGTCTGTTTGCCTAAATCCCAAAGGGAGTAGGTGAATAATCAACACTGTCATTAAGTACAAACATAATTGATTCTGTTACCCTGAATTAAGATGAAAAAATACTTTTCTGTGAATGTTGGAAAATATGTAGTGGTTCCACAAGCTTTGCAATTGCATAAAAAGCTTTTGCATCACTTCTCTAAATTCCTCCCCTGCCAAACCATGACATTATATAATTTTCCCCCATATTTTCCACAGAAGGCTTTTTCCACTTCTCTAAAAACAACAATATTTGTGCTCATATCTTGTTATGCCCCTGTGCTTGGAAAACCTTAGGATATTATAAGCTGCCCTTTACAGGGTTGCCAGGTCAAGGCTATTGCTTTCAAGAGCATCAAAGGTGTAATAGCCAGGTAGGCTACTTGATAGAGCAATGATAGTGATTGAAATGAAATCTGGAGAAAAATATAGTGTTTTATCTGGTTCTACACACCTTGTATCAGATGCTTCATAATGAAAGGCTCTGAGACAGCTGAACATCTCTCTGGTGTGGAAGAGGAGGAAGAATAACAGAAATTATGTTAACTCCTAGACAATACTAAATTCACCATGATTTTGAATACGTAGAAAATGCTTTTGTGTGCCATGAAGCAAAATAATGAATAAATCTATAAACAAGCTTCTTCATGAGACAAATTGATATCTTTGAGCATTACATTTCAATTTTTACTTTCCATTGTTTATATGACTCATTTCAAGAGCCCAAGCTAATGACATCTCTTTAAAAATTTGCTTTAGACATTTTGTGTTTGGTGTCCTGTAACTGTGAAATTAGATTTAAAGTTCTACTTGAATCCTTTTCTTCTTTGCAGTTTTATTTGACAAATAAAAATACTCTCCATAGTTCTGCCAGTTCCAAATCCAAATTCTCTTTTCTGTGTTGTACAGCAGCTTGATTTGGTGCCTGGGGCTGTCAGAACCATTTAGTTTGGAACCACAGGTCCCACAGCAACAGAGAATGATAGTGAAGAGTAATATTCCAATTAGATTTTTGTTCCAATAATTCACTGTTGAAAATATGTTCTGCTGAAATCCAACAGCTTTCAAATTAAAATAATTTTAAGAATTGATTTCAAAAATGGAGTTTTATCTTTAGATTGTTTTTATGCAAAGTAGTGTGTGCTTTATCCAAATGATAACAGAAATTGTGGAAAATAAGTATTTTGGTGCAGTTGAAATGTTATCAGGCTTACGTGTCTACTCTTCTCATATTATTGAGGTCATCAACATTTCAGTCAGTCACTCGAACTCTGATATTGAACTTTGTCCTGTGTTTTTACAGAACTCTTCTTCATCCTCTTGCACAGCCACCTGCATCTTTTAATTAATTTCTTTAAAGATTGAGTAGATTTGCCACAGCAAAAGAGCTCCTCTTTGTCATGGTCAACAGATACTTTTGTCAGCTTAATTAATGAGGCTTTCAATGCCTGTAGAAGGAAAAGAAGACACAGTCCTTGGGATGTTCAGTTTCCCATGGCAGGGTGGTTGAACAAGAACAGTCTCATTGCAAAAGGGAGAGTGTTGATTTTCCTGAGGAAGCATTGTGTTTGCTGCACAGTATAAACTCAGCATGGCTGTAGAGGTCTTAAGAGGTCCTGCCTATTTTTGGAACAGAGGCTTTGAGCACCATCAGAAGACTTTGGTTTCTAACAAAGCCCAGAACTTAATATGTGACTTTAGTGTGTCACCAGATCTCTACCTGTACTCATGCTCTCATGAAACTCTGTGCATTCTGCCTCACCTGAACCTTGTGCTGCTAATGTTGTTAGGGGTTGCACTTCTAAGTATTGAGGACAAATTAAAATGAAGAAAAAAATAAGCAAAATATCTGTAGCCTAAGTAGAAACTAAGCAATTAATGTGCTTGTGATGCTTTAATTTCAGACTCGGTGCAAGACTGCCCGCGTCATTGCCATGGGAATGGCGAGTGTGTCTCAGGTGTCTGCCACTGTTTTCCAGGATTTCATGGAGCAGACTGTGCTAAAGGTATCATTTTCCCTATATTTACAAATAACCACAGTGTGTGTCTGTCCTCTATTGATCTACAATGCCTGCTAGCTAGCATGGGTCTGAGCTAGATTGAAATAGAACAATTTGCTTTTTTTATTCTTAGATCTTGAGGAAGTATTGTCACATTTCCAATGAGCTTGCATAACTACAGCCTTTTTTTGTGGCAAAGGTAGTAGACAGAAATGGCAGAAAATATTTATTTTCTGGAAAAGTGAATGAATTATCAACGCTTTCTGATAATCGTTAGCTGGTCTGCAAGAAAAGACTGATTGTCTTCATTGATAGAGTGTAGTACATATTCTGGCTTGCTTGAGCCTTACTTTTAGTACAAAGCATCTTTCTTGCATATAAAATTACTCTTTGACCAAAGGAACTTTGCCTTTTGTAGGAAAATAGGTAGGACCTGATAAAATCTTAAAATAAACATTTTGTGAAATGTCAATTGTAAATTTTAACAACTAAAACTGGGAAATACACTGCTATCAAGGATTAAGTAGAAATCTAAATGACATCTATGGATTGGCAGTATGTGTTCATTAAGTTTTTTCTGAGAGTTTTGGATAGCAGTGGTAGGGAAAGGATTCACAAAGAAGGAACTCTTTAGTTTGTACAGCCAGTAGCAGATGTGTTGTCTAAATTCAGTGGCTTGGTTGTATTCCTCTCTGCTCCTGAGCAAACTCAGAACATTTTACAGTTTGCTTCCTTCTTAGTTTGTGTGAGATTTAGGCACACTACCAATATCATGCTTACAATTATTTTTCACGGGGTTTTTAGGGTTCCAAGGGGGAAAGCCTGGTGTTTGAAAGCTTTTAAGATAACTTGAAGGGCCTTAGAAATTTGCTCATTTCTTCTTAGATTCCTGATGCAGAGAGTTCATTGTGCCCCACCTTGGTCACTGCTGCGGCACATCCATGTGTCTATAAATACTCCTTGAGTAGCTCCTATAGTTGTACTGGAGTGAGTAATTTCTGGGTTTTGTCTCCACACTTGGCTCTTGAAGGTGCCCCAGTACAAAAAAAAAAAAACAAAAACAAAAACAAAAAAAAAAGCCCAAAAGTAGAAATAGAGACCCCAAGGGCCTTGAAAAGCTAAGACTGCTATTTCGGCATTCACCCTGCTCGTTTTACAGAACATTCAAATTGTTGTTTGATTACCTGAGAAATTAAGACAGCTGGTAAATCTGGAGAGGAGATGTCTGTATTGCACAAAGTGAATGGTGTGATAATGTGAGCTATAAATACAGACTGACAGCTCTGTGCTTTTCTGTGGTGTTAACCTGTGAAAGTATGCATGCAGTGACTGTGTGCTTCACTGCCACCCTTCACACATACATGGCCATTATATCAACTCATTTGCATTCTGAGTTGTGCAGCGATCCTGCATTGTCTACTGAACCTCTGTGTAGCACTGTGTGCTGTGTTAGTGCTAGAAAATACTTCCTTCAGGCTGTGACAGATAAATAGCTTTTGAATAGGGCGCTTGTCAAACTATTTGTCAGGCTTCTCCTGCCCCTCAGTGCATTCCCTCTGCTTCCTGCTTTGTCCTTTCTGTGTTGTCTCTTTCCCCTCAAAAGCAGAAATGGTTTCATGGAAGCTTCCTTCAGCTCTGGTACTGTTTTCTTGTCAGACATGATGGTATTTCTAAAGAACAAAGAAGCCTGAAAAACTGCACAAGATGAGAACATGGATGTGTTGACAGAACTCGTGTTTCTGTGCTGGAAAAGCTGCACAGTGTTACCCTGAGAGCTGGGTGTGGGGGCTTTTTGCCTCACCCCTTTCATGCCTGTTCTCACAGCCACAGGCTTTTCTGCTTACTTGAATGCTCTTCATATGTGAGAGCAGTTTCAGAACTCAGAAATCAAAATTGGAATTCTATGCAGGGTAAAACACAGTAAAATGAGATAGACAATTACATCTTTTACATCATATTACATGTATGGACAAATGTTTAATGAACATCTACCATAATGTTAAATTTATATTTGACCTGTAACAAGTATGGAAGGTTAATGTTTTTTTTCAATTTGATTTTTTAATTATTTCCTTAGCAATTCATCTTTCAATATCTCACTTCTCCACCATAAAATAAGTTGAGTCAAGACTCAAATGTGGAGAAAGTGTGAACAAGCTCCTCAGATGGCTTTTAGAACTTGGTCCATGCAGTAAAAGCAGTCTGAGAGCTTCCCTTTGTGTGAACCCCAAGTCTGACAGATATGAAACACAATCCTTCATCCCAGGGCAGGTCCTGAGGCCATCAGAGGCAGTGAGACATCAGGGGAGTCTCTGCAAACCATTTGCAGGCAGTGCACAGGGACCCCTCCATCCACGTGGTTCTAAAAGATAAAAATGAAGGAAAGCTGTGGGACACAGCACAGATTTGACTTCAGATCCATTAGCTTCAAGAAAACACTATGAAAATTATTGGAAAGAGATGAACTTTTGGCCCAACCCACAGGGTGTAACACACTTTCATACCCTGATTGAAATGGAGCAAACTTCACCCTCTCAAACACTCCTGCCAAACCCTGTGTGGGGTATTTCTCATTCTTATTCTGTGGAAATAGCTTATTATCTGGTATTCAGTAGCAGCAGATTTACTCCATTCTTGCTTAGGCAAAATTCCCTTTGGAGTTTATCCTTATTAAGGTTAAAGAATCTCATCTAACATACAAAAAAGGTAATGATACATTTTGATCTCATGTGGATAAGATATGGAATACAAAGAAAAAGAAAATCTGATAATCAAAGGATAATTCCATGCAGAGATGTGTCCTGATAAAGCAAGTGTGTACAGTTAAAGCCAGTGGAAGATTTGCTGTGAATTGAACTGCACTGTGAGTAGCCTCTTGTCCACAATTATGTGTAGGAGCTATTGGTGAAAAGTTCTCTGGCCAAGGATCAATTAAAGAATCAGACATGCAGCTGTGATTATTGTAATTTTTTGGTGTTTTGCACATTTTTCCATTCATCTCTATTTTTCTGTAAGCTCTGTGATAAAACCACTGAAGTATATTAAGAAGTGCTTGCTTAGAATTGTTGCTGTTTATGTCTGATCCTAGTTTGGATTTTCAAGGTCTGTGGTGAATCTGCAGCAGGCATCCATCAGCATGTCTTGCCTTACACCACGTGGGGATGGAGTTCAGTGCTACAATGAGTTGAGTTCTAGAAGGGACTCAGACTTGGCTATAATTTCATTTCATCTCAGAAGATATTTGAAGGGCATGCAACTCTTCCACTCCTTTAACAAAACCACTTCCAAAGACTCTGTCAAATACTATTTTGCAACTGTGAGCAGAGCCTCCTTTAATTTTGCATTTTAAAATACTTGGATTTGCATCATAAGCATCTTTAGCTAATCTGAAAAGGTGAACAATGCACCATCACATAGGATTTCTACATTGATATGATGAGCATAGCCTGCTAAGAGCTGGTGATGGTGTCCAATTTGTGAAAGAAGGACAAAAATGGAGTCAAGTAGCTTATGTCAACTGCCATGAAGTTGCCATTTAGCAGATACTTCTAGCTGATTATGCAATGTAATAAGAAACATGTTTAATATTTTAATCTAAATGAAATGAAGGGTTTTGGATTTTTTTTAAACCAGAAATTTGTGCAATGTTTGATCAGTTGACTTTTTAATCTGATTTTAAGAACTCTAATTATTCAGATTTATGTTATTCGCAATTTCTTTTCCTGTTCTCCTTGTGTGGGTTTTTCATTATTTTATTTTCATTCTGTTTGTTTTTGGCTTACTGGCAAAGGACGGCGCCACTTTAATAAGTATAAAAAGAAGGGTAGGTTTTTTTAAATTTCTTTTTATTTCTTTTGCAACATCTATTTAGTTTGAAATAGTTACAAAGCTGTAACGTGTCGTCTCTCTCTCTTTAAATTTATCCTAATGGATTTGCTGTTTGCACCATAGTAAGAATTCCTACCATTGCCATTTTCTTTGTTATGTGTGGGCTATTAATCTCTGTACAAAAAATGTAAGAAACTGTCAATTATTAGGTAAGTAAGGTATAATTACTAGAAGTAGCAACTCTTGCATTTTTGTAGTTGTTATCTAATTTCAGTTGTTTGAGACTCATCTTGCTCTGAGGCTTTTCAGAGGCTTCTTGCTTTGACAACAGTGCATAAAGTAAAGTTTTTTCATCCATGGAACACACTGCTTGAAACTGCTGTCTTTGTGTTGTGTCCAGAATGCTCCCAGTGGCACACACTGCTCTGGGAGTGATTGCAATGGGGACAACATTAAATTTTGGGGTGCATCCTGCAGAATAACTCAGAATCTGGTTCATTGCTGTAGAGCACATGGGCCACAGGAATGGATGATGTCCAGCTGCTGATCTGTAGGAGTGTACATCTCCTCTCTGTGTGACTCAGGGAATCACTATTTGTTCTCAGAACTTGGGTTGAAGTTTTAGGAACTGGAAACAGCTTAAGCACACAGAGGCTGCCTGGACTCTGAAGGAGAAGGTGAGGGGATGCTGAATCCCCTTTTCCCTCTCCCTGCCCTGCACATGGCCTTGGCCTCACAGAGGAGATGGAAGCTGAGGTGGGGCAGCACTTTGGGCCTTCCATGGCACAGTCAAACTGGGGAAAGGGTCTTGAACTCTTCAAGTGTCTCCCTTCAAATGCAATAACAGGATCAGAGAAATAAGGGAGGGTGGATCAAACATGGTGATGCCATCACCAGATGGGTTTGCAAAGCAAAGCTGGAAAGGAGAAGTGTAAAAAATGGCAGGTTGGTGGCATTATTACAATGTTGTCCTGAGCCATAAGTTAAAGGTGACCTGTTGTGGTTAATCCTTTACACACAAAGCAAACAAATAAAAACAGCACCTGACTCCAGGGATGTACCACCTCAATAGAAGTTTAAAGGGAATGAATGGGAACCATTTGACAGATATGAAGGTACAGGAGAAAATGGTGAAAATGCAGTGTTATAGAAACACCAGCAGTGTGACTGTTGTCATCTTGGGGGAACACTGTGGTAAAGGCAGTTTGAAAGAGGGGTGATGGGGCAGTTAACACCTTGGAGGGAAATGGTGCCTTCAGAGGAGAGACTGAGCACAGGAAACAGCTCAAAAAAAAAAAAAAGGCAGTTCAAAAATTTCACTTTCAAAAGCATCCTATCCTAACTTCTAGAAGGGTTGAAGTCAGAATTCAAGCACTGAGCAGTGTGGGCTGAAGGGGATCTGTAAATGAAGTTAGAGCATGAAGTTCATGTTCCATGAGGTAAAAGGCCTGAAACAAGACTGGGAAAGAAGAGGCACACAGCTGAAGGTTAGATTAATAAATTAGCAGTGTAATTAGTGAAGCAGTGTTACATATAAACATGACTGAAGAAGATTGAATTTATCAATGTGGAGAAAAAGGTGTTTATTTAATGTAGATTTTATTTACTGGAAGTCAGGGTAGAATTCTGACCTAGAGAGGCAATGCAGAATAAAATCCATAAAAAAACTTTGTCAAAGCCTGAATGTGAAGCAAGAAAAAAAGTAAAAAAGAAATCCAGACTATGAACTTTAATGAAAAGTAGAATGATGGTATTTTCCACTTTGATAGAGCAAGAATGCAGGGTAGGTCTGAGAAGATGTGAGATAGAGAAAAAAAGGTAAATCAAAGAAGAAGTAACTATTAGTAAGCATTTTAGATGTTCATAATCATAGCATGTATCATTTTACACTGTACTGTTGAAGGAAGAAAAACGAAGTGTGCTTTTCTCTGGAAATGCTGCATTCCTGACTTGTCACCCACACACATCTCACATCCTTTCTTGCAGTTGACAGAATCCAGCATGTTCAGCTTCTCTCTTTGTATCTCTCTCTGGGTGGGTTTGTTTTTGGGTTTTGTGTATTTATGTGTGTATGTGTGCCAACTTGTGTGCGTGCTGCAGCAGCAGCACAGCCCTGGCTTGTCACTCAAATCTTCCCTCACAGTGGGTGGAAGCATCATTTTGATACTTGAACAGACAAGGCTGCCTTTGGCAGTGCTCCCCACCAGCAGTTCCCACCTCTCTGACTCAGTACCTTAAAGTGCCTTTGTTATAAATTTTCTTCTTGTTTCCCCAGTCTCACATTTTATTAGCAGGCTATTTTCATTTCTTGCTAACTGGTCATGTCCTCAGCTGCCTTCCAGGTTTTGATGTACAGGGCAGTGATTGCCTGCCTGCCCTTGTTTTTCTTGGTTTTACAGAAATGCATTACACTCTAAAAAGGAGCTTGTGCCATTAACTCTGGCTAATATTAATTACAGAATAAATAAATAGACATGCAGCCTATTTTGACAATGACTGACAGGCATTGCTGTCTATCAGCTGCTAGCTGGCCTGCATGAAATGAGATAGTAGCTTTGATCCAGTGTCAGGCAGCCAAGGAGTGCCAACACAAAATCCATCACTGCAACTCTTTCTAATTGGCAATTTAAGCAGGAGCCAGGGGCTGGAGGGGTCACAGGCTGAATTCTTTCAGATTGTGAGTGCTCATGGCTCCAGAAGGGGCTCAGGGCAACAGGAGCCATCGAGTCTGGTTTGAGCTTCCTCATCAATCCTCAGGGATCCTCCTGGAGACTGGAAATAAGAACAGGGGCTGGATGGATGGGCTGGGCTCTAGAATTCTGCAGCAGATACCTGTTAAATTTGTTACAACACAAGGCATTTAACTCACAACATTTTCACTGCTGCCTAGAGATGTGTACCTGTCCCTCCAGCACAGTGTAGATTGAACAGGAGGATTAGCAGCGCTCAGATTGCTCCTTTTCCTGCACCAGGCTGGAAGTGGTGCTCATACCCTCTGCATTCTTTGTAAGAAAGTATTTGCAAAGTTGAAATAGCACCCAGGAGCTCCTTGTAGCATAAAGGAATTCAAGTACTCCTTAAAGGAATACTTGAGTATATAATACTTTAAGAATATAAGTTTCAACATGCAAAATATTAACTTCACATTCTTCTTAAAGTTTCTACAGCTTCTGCTGATTCCAACACTGAATTTAGGGTTATAAAGAATTTATCTGCAAAAGATCTTGTCCTGAATTGTTTAAAGTGGAGATTCCCCTGTTGTTTAGAAGTACATCCTTCATTCTTTTTGTTATGGTTGGGGCTCTACAGGGAAACAAAAATGCTTTAAACTTTTTAACAAAATGTATTTAATGTTGTTAAATACACCTAATAGTTGCATCTCATGTAGCAATTTATTAGCATGTTTTCTTTATTAAACCACCAGTAAACATACAGGCAAATTTTTCCATGTGAATTACATTGTCCTTTCATGTATATCTGAGTTCATCTGCAGCCTGTGAACTTGGAATTATGCATGATTCCTTTTCCCAAAGAGCTTGTAGGGTAGTGGTGCAGCTAAGAAGGCAGATTTATTCTGCAGGAGGAAGTTTCAGACAAAGCTGAAAGGATTAAGAAAAAAAATAATGGGGAATACTGAGGAATTCAGTAATGGAGGAAGAAGAAAATAATTGACAGAAGTCACTGATGTCAGTGATGGACAAAACATAATAGGTGGAAAGTGGACATGTAAGGAATCGTAATTCCCTGATTTCAGCAAACACTTGGGTATTTTTGTGTGAACATTCTCTACCCCACCTGGAGAAACTCAGGGACTAAAGAGAGCCACAGGCAGTAAGTACTGTAGCTGAGCTGGAACCAAATGTTATTGGCTTAGTATTATAGGAAAGTTTGCTTTGCTTATGTTCAAGATGGAAAGCACATGGAAACACAGCAAAATCTTATTAATGGATTTTTCTTTAACAGCATTATGTAATATTTTCATACTTAATAAAACCTGGGTACATTCATTTGATCTCTCACAGCTGCCTTTGAAGACTGCTCTGTTATCAGTTACTTCTCTTTCTTCCTGTCTTAAACATGTGCAGCACAAGCACATCTATTTGCACAAATATCTTCTGTTTCAATGGAGTTCCAGTAGGTAGAATATTTCAAAAGGTTCTGAGTGCAGCAAGGAAGTGGACATCCATATAAATACATGCTGGACAAAAACCATTCTGCAGCTTAGTTCTGGCAAACCAAAAAAGCTTTTTTCCTTCATAATACTTCCATTGGTGGCCAAGAATTTCTCTGCTCCCACTCAGCTCTGCTGAGCTGAATTGTGCTCGCTGTGCTGTATGCCTTGTAATTTGTTTTTGTGCTTAATTGGTTAGCTTATCTAATTGTATTGCAATCTACATTTTGGTTTTATTTTGCTTTGTCTCCCTGGAATTGTACTGGTGTTTGTTTATTTCATTAAGTTCTAAGGGTTCATCCTGGCAGTTGTGTTGGGATCTTCTTGGAGTCCTTGTGATGATGGCAAATGTCATTGAAGTGACTATGATTAAGTAGTATTGTGAATCACATTATAGAAATACAGCTGTTGTCAGACATCCTTAGACATTTGCCATCCCTGAATAACAGAAACAGCCCTGAATCACAGCCTCGGATTTCAGCATGCATGACTTTTTTCACACCTACACTATATCTGGATTCAAAACTGTAATTTAGATATTTTCTATATTTAGTTCTTACTTCAGTAAGATTAAATTCAGTTAACTGTCATCCCCATTCTCTTTCTCAAACAAACAAAAAAATCTCTAATTCAAATGTAGAAAAATGTTTAAATATCTGCAGCTAATGTGGAACTGTGCAGTTAAACATGTTATGATTTAACTTTTCTGGTAGATTTAACAAGGCAAATAATAGTAACTGAAATGAAACCAAACCAGCCTGCATTTTAAATACCCTGAATGCTGCAAGCTGTGGGTGCAGTCCTGCATCTATTGCACTGCTGTT